ATTTACAGCAATAATAATAATAATAATAATAATAATAATAAAGAAGGAAGTTGACATGTCAGTATTAAGGAGTGAGTCGACTCTGCTATCAAGAGATTTGAGGATTACACAAGGCAGAGTAATGAAAGCTTAATTACAGCCTCCAAATTTTGAAAACCTGACAGAACAAATCAAAAATGCAGAAAATTCTAAACTGAAAGAAAAAACCGAAAAGGGAAACAAAAGGATTTGGGAAGGAGATATGCAAATGGCTTGGAAGAGGATAGTTGAAAAGAGAAATTAAATGTTAATGGCAGTCAAGAATAATTTTTAAGAACAATAAAGTCAAAAGAATAGGTCATAGCAAAATTGTCAATGCAAACTATGCAGATATACAGAATGAATCACCAATCATATACTAAGTGAATGCAGTTAATAGAGTCAGAAAGAGGGCAAACAAAGGCATGACTGGAAGTTGTGCTAAATACAATGTCATTATTGGCTCTCCAGAGATTCTTTTTTTTTATAATTTATCTGCAATTTGCCATGCATTCTTGGGAAAAATAGTGAAGGTGTTTCCCCACTGACTTCTCCACTGTTCAGAATTTAGAATTATTTCCTTCTCTTAGATAGGTAGCCACCTAAAACTAGAGAATCCAGACTACCTTGCTATTCAACTAAAGATCTGGGAGTAAAGAGACTGATTTGTCTCTTTCTCAACACTATTTGTGTGAAAGTGAATGCAGAAGGTTAGGCAGAAATTTGAACATTCCTAGCCAAATTTACTTCCATGCTGATATTTGTTACACCACCAGCACATCCATCTTTCTTAAAGAACAAAAAACTTAAACTTATTGAGGATACTAAGATTCAAACAGACATCCAATGAATTTCAGAATACCCGATCTTGCTAGTGTAAGCGAGGGAGAATGTATATGCTAGAGCATTTTTCTTTATTTTGGAAGACTACATGTTAAAATTAAAAAACAACCTTTTATTTGGACCATTTTTCAGTCATTATTGGCATGCTCAGAAAAATCTCAAATAATCTTGATAAGTGAACTCAAAATTCCATGCAGAACTGAAATGAAACAATTATAAGAAATCATCTAGAATATTAAACAGAGTGCTGATATATTGAGGAAAACTGCTGTCACTTGCCTGCCCCGCCCAAATGAAAGCTACCTAGTACTATCACTGGGAATGCTTAAAGTACAAATACTAGTAACTGAAAACATTGGTATAAAGAGTCAAACTTTTTGCCATGATACTGTAATGTATAACAGATAGTAAAGTTGAAAATTGCTCATAATGTACAGAAGAGGCCAAAAATAGACAGAAGGATTTATGTATGCAAACAAGGAAGTAAAAAGATCAGTCATGAAGTCATCAAGAATTCAAAAGATCAGCTGAAGTATCTTAGAATACAGCTTAAATATAACAGAATATTTTAAAATAATAAGTGAGGAAAGAATCATTCTATAAAACTAGGAAGATTTTACAGACAAAAGCAAACAACAGATATCAAAAGGTATAAATTCAGAGATGGTATCCAGAGTAAAGTGTTCTCAACTTTAAACTTGACAGAAGAACTGAAAACTTTTCATCAGAGATCTAAGAAATTAAGGTCTATACATGTAGGGCAGTATCACAAAAGATTTTGCAATTCAAACAGACCACCCAGTCAACAAGAGCAGATCACTCGTTGTGGTAAATAAGAGGAAGAAACTGTCAGTAAATTTTGCTGATTCTGCAGACCATGAATTGAATTGAATTGAATTGTATTGAAAAAAAAAAAAAAAAAAACGGAGAAAAAATACTTGAGAAATATTTAGACTTTGATAGAACTAACAAAAATGTTGAACAGAAATTTAACTTTTCAAGAAGTTGAGACTAATGGATTCAATGGTCATAATAAACTTGATGTGAAGTTAAAAGAGGATGGAAAAAGACTTCTCAACATATCAGAATTTGTTTGCTTGATGAGCTTGTGAGACTCAACAAAGTAAATATAAAATATTAGTGACAATCATAAATTGCCACAAAAACAATAAAAACTGTTATTATAAGAAATAAAGTCAAAGACAACAAAACTAAATAATAAAATAAGCAAAAAATAATGGTTGTTATACTTATTTTAGTAGCATAAGGTTCACTTAAAAAGGAAACAAAATTGCAAGTAATAACAGACTAGTCAAAGGCCAAATAGCCAGCCCTGTTACAAATGTGCAACAGACATAGCACACCATAAACATTATTATTATCTCTATCAGAAGGAGTGTTGTACCAGAACCCTTACTGCTTTCAGGAATTGCTCATAATCAGTACAAGAGACTCTTAGAAAATTCTAAAAGCAGCTATGCACAAGCCATCCAAGCCAAAATTGAAAAGAAACTTGGCTTGTGTGAGTTCTTGAAAATTTCAATTAAGATTCTCAACAGAGGCAAAGTTCCAGTATCCTCCATTATAAGTGGTCTTGATATTATCTCATCCACATCAGATAAGGCAAAGATCTAACTCCATAGTAGATGACAAGAGCCATCCCCTATCTGACCCACCACCTCTCACAGAACATCCCTGCCTAATCTTAGGAAGTTTCCAAACATGTAAGTAGATTTGACATTACAAAGACTACTGATCTACATGTAATTCCTGTAGTTTTTAAGAATCTTAACCCAGAGCCATCCCTAATCTTGGCAAAATTGTTTAAATGCCACGTAAAGGTGAAAGGTGTCAGTTGCATGCCCAATTTACAAGATTCTGGGTTAGCACTCCCTCCCACCACAATGTTGCTCCCATCAGCCTCCTCACTGTCATCAGCAAACATTTTGAGGGTGCCATCAACAAGACTGCATATCACCTTAACTGTAAAAACTTCTTGAGCAATAAACAGCATGGATTTCACTCCTCTAGGGTCACCGATGCTGTCTTAACAGTTGTCATGCATGAAATCAATAAAACACTTGATAATAAATCCATCAGAAGAGTCTCAGATATCTCAAAGACAAGGTTGGCATAGGAAGTTGTTACATAAATTCCTCAACCATTACATTTCTGGTGGTGTCTTTGCGATTATCAAGTCCTTCATCTTGGTAATGACCAGTACTCTGATGCTGAGGAGATCAATGCAAGCTCTCTTTTTTTTTCTACCCTTTCTTCTACTGTATATTAACAATCTGTTTGGAGACATTCTCAGATCACTAGCAAATACTTATGAAAACAATACAATTTATAGAACCACCAAGAATCTTGCAGATGTTTACTTAGCTTGTTTACACAACTCAATAGTTGATTTGTTTATTGGTATATCAACTCCTTATGGTTATTTAATGCCAAAATTTGATTTTCTTTGGAGATTTGAAGTAATAAAAATACAATAAGTTATTCTGCTTTCACAATTGACTACATGGTAGATGATACTCAGATTTTGTGCATATACATGTTTGAGTGGACATAATTACTATAGGTGGTGATGTGTGTGTTTTTAGTTTTGTTGAAGTTATATTTTGAAATATTGTTTCATTTAAAAAATTGTTGTTTACTATATGGATTAATGTCATAAAAGTTCTTATTTTGCTTGTTTATTTGATTTTATTCAATGGTATATCAGCATCTATGGGATATTTAATGTTGAAATCTAAATATTTTGAATGCAATTATATGTCTTCAACTCCAGATGAAATGTATTGTTGGTAATTTTACTATAAATAGGCATTGTTGGTAATTTTTTTAAATATAAAAATGTATTGCTGTTACTTTTACTATAAAGGTGTAATTTTTTACTTTCATAGTGTCTTGTTTATGTTTGTGGGATTCACTATTTGTCCATAGCTGGGACCCTAAAAGGTGCTACCACCCTGAGTCAGGGTTGACCTGTGAACAGCAGCAAATAAGTGATTCCATGCTCCTCAAAAAATCCAATCTCTCAATCAGATGCTTTGATGATGGATGTAGTTACAACTCAATGGGTGAGGACCTCAAACCCAAGCTATTAAAGTTTCACTCTCTTAGAGCAAACCGGAGCCCTTTTCAGTCATGATGAATGGTTGTACTCTCAATGAGACTCCTTGATTGGAATGTCTATTAGGACTCAAACATGAACTCAAGTTGAACATATTGTATATACAATCCATTGCTAAAGATGGTTCAAACTCTAGAAAGTATGCAACTCCTTTTGATGTGCTCTATCTCTACAAGAGTCAGATTATACTATTATTACACAATCCTCAATTTCCAACCTTGACAGTTCAAAATGCTTGGTCAGCTGTGAGGAATTGTTTTCCACCCTTTAACCCCTTTCTCATAAAGGTTACTAGTTTCTCACAATTACTATTTTATTGGCACATGTTTGGTTGAACTACATTCCTTAATTCCACCGGTCCAAAGATATTTCCCTGATCACTAAAAACTACTTCAAGCCAACCATTATCTATACTACATATCCTCATAATATGAAACGCTTAATCCCTCCCCATAAGCAGCTTACAACATGTCTATTAAATAATCTTATACCTTCAGTGGAGCCTAAACTTTTACTGGATGAACAGTAATACAAAAAAGAAATCTGAACAAACAAAAATCAAGTAAAAATTAACAAGACACACATTAAGACCAAATGCTGTCTATGTGTGTATAGATGAAAATTATAGTATAAATGAATGTAGAAAATTAACTTTGACTATAAACATGATTGGAATAGAATCATCGACTAGTATATAAACAGGCTAAGAAATTAAATCAACACAACCCAAAAACTGCCTTAAAGTAATAAGATTTGTTGGCTCTTTGAAAGTCAAGGAAACTAGTTCCAGCTAGGCTAAACAACAACAAAAAAGCAGACTACAAGGGGAAAAATTGGAAAATATAAAATACTTCACAGAGGATTAAACCAGTACTTTCAGAATGTTTTCTAGATGAAGTAAAAAATATTTTTGTGGACTTTGTATATAAATTCAACAAATTTCTATCAAAATCTGCATTTATAAATTTTAGTCTTAATGATAAGATATAAGATATGAATATCAGACAAAAGTGGGGAAAAAAGAACAAAAAGGAGGAAAAGGAAAAAGGGAGGAAAAATGGTGGAAAAAAAAGGTGAAATAAAAGAAAAAAAAAAAAAATGAAAAAGTGAAAAAAAAAAAATGAAAAATGGCCAAAAAAAAAAAAAGTGAAAAATGGCCACAAGTGAAAAAAAAAGTGAAAAATGGCCACAAGTGAAAAAAAAAGTGAAAAATGGCCACAAGTGAAAAAAAAAGTGAAAAATGGCCACAAGTGAAAAAAAAAAAAAATGGACACAAGTGAAAAAAAAAAGGGAACAATGGACAAAAAAAAAAAAAAAGGAACAATGGACACAAGTGAAAAAAAAAAGGGAACAATGGACACAAGTGAAAAAAAAAAAAAGGGAACAATGGACACAAGTGAAAAATAAAGGGAAAAATGGACGCAAGTAAAAAAAAAAAAAAAAAAAAAAAAAAAAAGTGAAAAATGGCCACAAGTGAAAAAAAAAAGTGAAAAATGGCCACAAGTGAAAAAAAAAAGGGAACAATGGAAACAAGTGAAAAAAAAAAGGGAACAATGGAAACAAGTGAAAAAAAAAACAATGGACACAAGTGAAAAAAAAAAAGGGGAAAAAACAAAGGAAAAAAAAAAGGGGAAAAATGGACACAAGTGAAAAAAAAAAGGGAAAAATGGACACAAGTGAAAAAAAAAAGGGGAAAAATGGACACAAGTGAAAAAAAAGGGAAAAATGGACACAAGTGAAAAAAAAAAAGGGAAAAATGGACACAAGTGAAAAAAAAGGGAAAAATGGACAAGTGAAAAAAAAGGGAAAAATGGACACAAGTGAAAAAAAAAGGGAAAAAATGGACACAAAAAAAAGAGGAAAAATGGACACAAGTGAAAAAAAAGAGGAAAAATGGACACAAGTGAAAAAAAAAAGAGGAAAATGGACACAAGTGAAAAAAAAAAGGAAAATGGACACAAGTGAAAAAAAAAGGAAAAATGGACACAAGTGAAAAAAAAAAGAGGAAAAATGGACACAAGTGAAAAAAAAGGAAAAATGGACACAAGTGAAAAAAAAAGAGGAAAAATGGACACAAGTGAAAAAAAAAGGAAAAATGGACACAAGTGAAAAAAAAGAGGAAAAATGGACACAAGTGAAAAAAAAGAGGAAAAATGGACACAAGTGAAAAAAAAGAGGAAAAATGGACACAAGTGAAAAAAAAGTGGAAAAATGGACACAAGTGAAAAAAAAATGAAAAAAGGACACAAGTGAAAAAAAAATGGAAAAATGGACACGAGTAAAAAAAAAAAAAGGGAAAAATGGACAAGAGCGAAAAAAAAAAAGGGAAAAATGGACACAAGAGAAAAAAAAAAAAAGAGAAAAATGGACACAACAGAAAAAAAAAGAGAAAAAAGGGAAAACGGACAAAAAATAAAAAAGGACGAATAGAAAAAAACGGAAAAAATGACAAGCGAAAAAAGAGAAAATAAGACAAAAAGAGGGAAATGGACAAAAAGAGGATAAAAGGAGGAAATATTTCTATGAGGCAAGTAGATATGTTGTATGATTGTTTATCTGTATTTCCTGTAGAGGATTTCACAAAAATACTGTATTTCCATTGTATTTTTGCTGTCATAAATTATTTTCTCTTTTAATCTAAGCTGTGTTCTCTAAGTTAAAGTTATGATCAGACCTATTACAAAAAATCACTAATGTGTTGAGTTTATCATGTTGTAAAAGATCCATTTCATGTTTATATAATGTTACAGATCCTTAGGATTTTTTTCAGACTAATAATAATTTTATTAATGGAGTCAGTATTTTAAAGTAGTTGAGAAAATTTCATATCAAGAGAAATTCTTTGCAATTATAGTGTTGGTAGTTAGTATTATATATCTAGTTTTACCAAATTGTGTTATTTTCTTTTATTCTTTTTATGAATTTTGTAAGCTTTCCATTTTGCATTATATATGAAATAATAAATTCATTTGAAATTAAAATCATTTATGATGACTTAATTTCATATATCAGGCTAATTCAATCAATATAACATTAGTCTGAAGAAATGTTTTCTCTGAATGGCATGTGTCATTTAGAAGTTTTTCCATTTAGTTGTTCACTTATCCACATTTTAATTTTTATAAACAATTTAAATGGTGAAATATTATGAGCAGTAAATTTTTAGATTGTAATTAAACATAGGATTGATGTTTTTTGCAAAGTTTTCTATGTTTGAATGTGCTTGAGGCACTTAAAATTATTCTTTCTTCAATTCACAGAAGTCATTATTTTTCTTATTGTTAGCAAGGCAAGAAAATACAAATTATAAAATGGAAACTTTGATCAAAATAGGCAAAGCTTTTTTAGTTTCTCTAATAGCAATCAAAACTATCATCATTAACTATTCAGAAAGCAAAATCCCAAGAAATCTTTGTGTCCAGTAACTCTTCCTGCTTGAATTGAATCAATCATCACAGGGTTGAGAAGAAAATTCTAGTATTTTAAATAATTACAAACCATTATCATTGACTTTTTTTTTTTTAAACTTTACATAATTCTTCATGGCATACATATCTGTATCTTCTAAGGCAGGTTTAAGAATAAAATTGTGGTATATCTTGATAATTATACCCATTTTCATGAAAGCGAATGAAATTAACCGGATGAGTTAGACAGCAAGGAAGAAAGCAAGGAAAGAAAGAAAAGCAAGAAAAATGATAGGTGGTAAACTTTGAAACCTGTGGGAGAACTAAAACAATTCAAAATCAATACTGAAATCTTTAAGAATCCTAAAGAGAGTGCTGGAAGAGGATGAGACTTATTGACTGGATTCTTATTAAAAATCACCTGATATTATTAGCATAGAATTAATGAAAAAAATTGTGATCAACACTTACTTTGAGCCGTCTTCAAAGACATGAAATTAATAGACTTCTTGATTTTGAAATCCTGAAGGAACATCCAATCCATGATGAGATAAGACACATTTGTTTTAGGTAGTGAAAGCAACAATATGCCAATCAGGAGATATGACCATTCAACTATAATATAGAAAGAACCTGAAAGAGATGAAAGGAATATAAATACAAATAAAATATAATGTAGAACTGGGCATGGTACCAGATTATTTACAAATACAATATTAAAAACTGGTTATATACCTGTGGAATAGTTGATAATTTTAGAAGTATGACTATAACTTCAGCTATTATTGATAAATAGTCACATTTTTTGGATGATAGGCATTAGCAAATTATAGATAGAAACGCATGATATTGTATATTTAAAAATAAATCTATAATGGCACATATTCGAAAGTCTTGTGTATCTTCTCTGTGGACTAAAAGCAGAGGCCAAACAACATTTTATGCATGTAAACAACAGGTTGTCATTATTTGTAGCTGTGAAAGAAAATGGACTAAATTTCAACAAGGCGATATTTTTAAGTGTTTTATAAATGATTAACAAAAAGTAAAATATGATTGTATGCATGAAAAAAAAAACAAAATCTGAAGAAAGACATTGAAATCTAGCTCTTAGTAATTGTGTGTATGATAAAGAAGTCAGTTACCCAGGGAAAGATACCCCCAAGTCAAGAACAAGTCTCATACTGCTGTTGCTATTACCACATCCTGAAAGGAAGGAAGGAAGAAAAAAAAAGTGGAAGAAACAGAAGTGTCTTTTTTTTGTAGCTGTTTAACAGCACTACCTAAGAGTACTTGGCAAACCAAGAGCAGGTAATCCCACAAACTCTAATACTGATTTGTTATTATAAACCTCTAATCCATACTGGATTTTTTATAAACATACTACTGAATATTTTAGGAACCTATAATCTTGGATTTTTGTAGCTTAAATAAGTCTGTATTGCTGCAATGTCACTTGTACAAATCACGATATTGCTGGTTCAATTCACTGTCCACACTTTCTTCACACGTCACTACGTATAGCCAACGTTTCTATCCCCTTTTTCATGGCTCCAGCACTCTTATCAGGCCAACACTGCAGTTCCCCATCCAATCAGCATTCTTCGCTGTTATTCTTGGTTACACAGGCAAATTTCCTCCTCCAGTTCGACCAATCAGCACACGACTTGCTATTGGTGGAAGCATGCGAAACTGTACAAAAAACCCTCATCATTGCACATACTGCTAGAACGGCTGAACAGGAGAGTAATGCCATTTTCATGAAGCAAACTTGCTGATGTCATGTGCTGCATGTTAAGGTAAGACACTTATTTTCCTATACACCAGATGCAAGCCACTCTGGCTCACTTGCTTCTATGGGGCTGTTCACCACAATTTTGATTTTAATTTTTATAATTGGTAATGGATTTTTTGGTGGGCATTAATTAGTTTATCTCCAGTGATAGCAATCATATCATTGGTGTTAAGTTAAAAGATATATTTTTACATTTTCTTTTTTTTTTTTCTTATATATTCCTTCTTGCTATTTTTTTTTTTTTTATCTCTTTAGTAATCAGGTTCAGTTACAAGATGAACACTGTATTTTAACAAGGTTCAACTCTTCTCAGCGTGGACCTGAAAACCTATTTCCAGTAAACCCTTTTGTATATGATTCATGCTATAATTAAAACCTTCTGTTTATCTCAACCATAGCACCTGTTGTTCACTAAGTGTGGCAATGTCTTTGATATGACAAATTTGAGATTAACGTCACTCACATGCCATTCAGTTATTCACCTTTGTCTTCAGCCAAAGAGAATTGGCAGGAAGTAGCATAACAGTGGCAGATTAGCCTTCATCTAACCATCCAGTAGTTCGGTAATATTTCTTGTTTCATCCCTTTTATACTTTTCCTGTATTCTCTATATAGTTTATGGTATCTCCACCCTCAGTCGTAATATTTTTGCTTTTATAGTTTTATTAGTACTAAGATCCTCTAAGAACATCACTATTCATAAATTAGTAGATCATAGTGCAAACACCTGTCCAGCAATGCCAGAGTTCATAAGCATATATGTGACCATGTGGGTGATTATTTTCCACCCTGCAACCTCTTTCCCACAAATGAAATGGTGTTCCTCTATTTCTATCTAGAGGGCATTTCTTAGTTGTACCAGTTCAGATCTTCACAGCTAGGACTTGTCAAATACTCAAGTTTGAATCATCACCATTTCCTTCATAAGAAGCAAGTTTCACTAAGACTATTGGTTTGTAAAACAGACACCTGTGTATGCTTCCTTGATCACTACAATCTTAACCTCTTCAAGGCTAGGGTCAACCATTATCCTGCATATCCTCATAAAACATTTCTTACTTCCTCTGTTTACAATCTCTGACAATAACTTAACCTTCTATCTTGAACCTTGTCTTGGCTCAACTATAGTATTTAAAGTAAAGATAAAAACAGCCCATTTTAAAGATATTAGCACTCATAATACAAAATCCTATCCAACACATGGACAATACAAAATGAAACCAGAAAGAGTAGCAGATACAGTCAGTGCCTCTTTGACACCTTTACATAATAAGGTAGTGGATTGATTTCCTTTCTGATATTGACACAAGCATAAAGGTAATCAGAGTGCCTCATCATTGAGTAATAATTAGCAAGCTAGTTTCACAGATCATTACTATAGAGACACGAATTTGAATCTGACTCAGTGCCATATTCTTGTGTCCATGTGTCAACTGAAAACTCATTATTAATCATGGGAACAGAACACTAGTGATGTGAATTTTTTTTTTTTTTTTTATTTATCCTGTGACTCATATTTTTTCTTCTAGATTGGTTATCACCCAAGGCTATAAAATCCAGTTTATCCTGCTATCTACCCATACCTGGGCAGAGAAGAAGAGGATTCATACTTTTTCCAATGGTATTATCACGTAAATGAATGTAATGGACACAAATGGAATTTGAACTTGGCTCTCCGATTCCTCAATCTGAGTAGCTATCCATTACTCCATCATGAATACATGTGCACAATAATTTACACACATTGTCCATGACCATATCTTTTCTGCTAACAGTAAATCAGGAATAATAGACAAGGAATGGCACCAAAAGTTTCTCTGAGACTGTCCTTCATGAGGATGATGCTAGTCAACTCAATCTATCTAAGTTTGTTCATATCAAACTAGCTATCTACCTACATATCCCATATCCATGGAATCTTGTATACACCAACTTCAACCTTGCAATTTATTCATATGTCAAGCTAAAAAGTAAAACTATTGAAAAAATTATTTAGATCTCTAGCAAGCTTGATAGATAAATAGAACTTTAGAGAGATGTGTATGAACAGAAATTGGTAACACATAATAGCAAAAAATAAACAGGAACTAAGACAGGCATAAATGAACATGCATATGCAGTCTGGTGCAAATGAGCAGATGCACACACAGGATAGTGCAAATGAGCTGATAGATACAAAGATACATAATAAAAATATATATTACATTTCCGTTTCATGTATCTATAAAGAAAACCCTTAATAATAACACTGTTAAATATTTATTCAGTTCGCACAGTAATTGGGCAGAATGTAGGGGAGTTAATCTTCTCAGTAGGCAAAGACTATCTGCATCAGAAATTCATGAAAAAACCTGGTTTTTTTACCTGCATTCAAAAAATAATCTTTGTAAAATAACTAACTGCCTTAGCCACAATGCAGACCCAAAGATATTTAAGCTTTGTCTAGTCATTTACTAGACTGTGCTCATTTTTTTTTCAATTTTACTAAGATCGGTTCACTAATACCAATTGAAAAAATCTGATGTACTGTAAGCATTGAGCAGGTAGACAAAAATAGACAAAGATAGAGAGAGAGAGAAATATGAGGGCCAGCTGAAAAGTTCATAGACTCACTAAGATACTTTCATAAAATGTGACCAAATGTCCTTTACTTTTCAACATATTCTCCGTTGCAGTCCACACATTTCTTCCATCATTATTGCAGTGCTTGATAAGATAGATAAGAACAGGCTGATAGATATATGCAGACAGATAGGAACAGACCGAGAAATTTATGAGTATTGATAGGAAAAACTGAGGTCGATAAGAACAAATACACACAAACACACATATATATATATATATATATATATATATATATATATATATATATATATATATATATATATATATATATATGATAGATATGGAATGTATAAACGAAAACTTGTAAACAAAAAAAAGAAAAATCTATTGTTGGTTTGTTGTGCGCGTTTTTCTTCCTGAAGGTCTTTTGACTGAAATCCTGACAACTCTTCAAAGACATTTGCTAGCAATATTCTTGTTACATAACCATTACATGTCAGTGCAACTGAATAGATGAACATGTTCGAAGCTTTTGCAATGAAAGAAAGCACAAACTACCTACATCTCGTTCTTTTCCTGGTATTTCTTCAAACGGATTATGAAGAAACACATTGGAATATGTGGTACTAATGTCTTCAAGTCATTACACTGATATCCCTTTTATATTCGGCTGATACAAAAGGAAACTTAGAATTTTAGCTTTGATGCATGGACGCTGCTTTGACAATCAACAACAAATGTTGTCAGAAGCTGGTTTCTAGTCAATGGAAATTACAGATTGGAAATATTCTGGTAATTTTGCAGGAAAAAATATAAAACTGTCATTGCACTTTCTTCAATTCCTTGTTCCTAATGTGTCATGACAGTGCATTGATATTAACTTTATACATAATAAAATCATGAGAGTGCTCTGACAGCTTATCAAAGCATTACATCATAATTCAGGTGATCATATCTCTCCACAACTTCTTATCCTTTGTAGCTCAAATCAATAATTATTCTCTTCTTATGCTTTCCATTCTGCATTCTGTTATCCATTTACACAATTGTTTTAAATAGATTACTCATTAGTTTTCTCTGCTTCTCTTGCCTTCAATATGTCCTATGTGTCAGGTTCATTTTTTATACCACTG